ATGTATGTTTGTACGTACGTATGTATTATGTATGTATGTATGTATGTATGTTTGTATGTATGTATGTATGTATGTATGTTTGTATGTATGTATGTATGTATGTATGTTTGTATGTATGTATGTATGTATGTATGTATGTATGTATGTATGTATGTATGTATGTATGTATGTATGTATGTATGTATGTATGCATGCATGCATGCATGCATGCAAGTATATGCCTAATCTCTAACAATGTAAATTAATTTCACGTGCGTATCTACACCATGCTACTTAAAACGCATTCCTATTTTTCAAAATACGTGTATTCGTAAATAAATTCGCTTACATCTTTGCTTATCCATCTTATTAAGCAGTTCATCAGCATAGTCATTAACCTGCTGGACGCTCTGAAGACATCGTTCTCTCATCGTTCCTTGACAGCTCGTTCACTCGGAAGGCGCGACACCATCTCCGAAGCTGCAATAGCGTCAATCTCTATGCTGAAGGTAAAAATATATTATAATTAAAAATATTTAATAAATGCCAATTAAAACTTACATTCTTTGAAATAATATTTGAGAAATTGCCACGCTAACAATAAGAGGGAATTATCATACAATATATGTATATATAATTATTATATATAATAAAATATTTATAATATTATTATATTATTATATATATTTATAATAATATTATAATTATTTATCTCACATTCTCGCGAATTATATCGCATTATTGTATTTATTTATTCTTATATTGTAACTGTTTTTAATATTTCTAGGGCTCTCTGTTTACACATATATATAAATAGAAAGAAGATTATATACATATATTACGTGATTACTATTACTAAATTTACCTATTTAGAAGCAAAAATATATATCTCATATGTGTGTAATTCGTTTAATTCGCTAGGGCTACATGAGATCTGTCAAGTCCTTTAGCTACGTAGGACGTGCCGAGGAGGAAGGTCAACGTGGATGCGCCGAAAGAGCCCTTTGCGAGGCCAGCGCAGAGTGTATCGCTGATACACAAGGCCCATCGTCAATCTTCTGCCAGCTTGGATCGTGAGTGTTTAATTTACATTTTTGTTAAATATCAAATAAATTAACATGTACATGTTGTACATGTACACAATGTGTATGCGTAATCGATTTAATTGTCATGTTTCCTTTTTTTTCTTTTAGAAATAGACAAAAATAGTTTATTTTTTTATGTATCGGTATCACAAAGTATAAACTCGTATCAAAATTATAACAATTTTTCTCTCCATCTATATACGGCTAGTTATTACAAATTGGACATGATTTCTACAGATACGCGACAAGCTATCTTCTACAGAGACAGAGCGGTGTCGGTTTCGAAGCCCTTTACGAAGCAGGACGACGCGGTCGCACTGGCGAGGATTGCAGAACTCTCTTCATGGATTGCAATGCCGTATGAGCACGTCCATATTCGCGGCGTTTCATCGAGCGTGGCTTAGATCTTGCGGTATTTCGCGAAATCTCTTTGTCAATAGAATTTTTAAATCCGAAGCCTTCCCGAACAATTGTACATTTCGCCTCGTTAGTAGAAAACGATGCGAGAAACGTAACTCTATTGATTTACATTACAGGCAACCAAACGACATCAAAAGTCTTAAAGTTATTCAAGAGATATCTTGAGGGTTGAAACTTTCTTTCTAGGATGTTTTTTTAGAGTTCTTTGACATTCAATATCAAGCACTCAGACACAATCGATGCGTTTCAATAAGATTTTTAGTGTGTCCCACATTAGAATAGAAGTTTAAGTTTACTCGAGATGACCACGCGCGAACGTTCAGGGAGCACGTCGAGCTGGAATTCATATGAAATCTTGCCAACTCGACAACTCACGACTGATCATTTTTTTCGAGCGACGAATTCGATGCATACGTATTGTACGCGCTAAATGGCTAAATGATGCATTTTCATAATTTCGACGAATCTGTGATTTTAAAGTCGCGAATAAACCAAGCACTCGATAGTTCAATCTTATAAAGACTTGTCTCGCGAAAAATGAGATGAACATTTTCGATAATCTACTGTGAATATAATGAAATCTTTCGATGAAATTTTATCTAATGGATTTCTTTGGTCGCCTGTTTATCACGTTTATAAGTCCCCTTTCGTATCGATAATTAAGTTTCGCCATGCGCTAATTAAATAATTATATATTTATTTCTATTTATTGAATATATTTTACACGTATTATAGGTTGTATATTGTGCTCTTGCTTGAGAAATTTCCGTTATTCTGACAATAGAGTGATTATATAATGTACAATAGATAGCGGAGATTGTCGGAGATTTGATTTTTCAAATTTACAGTATACAAGATTTGTTTGACATCTGAAATGTGATGCATTTTTCTTTGAAATATGATATGGCCGATAAAAAATGTTAGTTAAATACTTGTCACAAGATCGGAATGCAATTCTATCGCGTATTCAATTTTCGATGTTACAAGTACGAGAAAAAGAATTTTACGCCAATATTGTCGTTTCCATGTCTCTATATAGGCTTGAAAGTTTAATTCACGGAAATTATACAAGCTTCATCAACGCTTAGATTATTTACGTACCGTATATATTTAATGTTAAATGTACGGTATGTATATAAAGTATTATATCAATAATAAAGCGCTTTATGAAACAGAGAGAAAGAGGGAGGAAGATGCGCTTAGAGCTGTTGGAGAAAGAGGATCGGCATTTAATGTGTTTGATGAGCTTTGTTCAAGTACTGCTATTGTGTGCTAGAAAAAAAAATTAACCTTGCGCGATATTATTTGAGTCGGTGATGAATTTAAGTAGTATTTTATTTTTGTAATTATAATTTGGCAGTTACTGCAAAAACAGTCAGTTTCAGTTTTTAAATATATTTTACACTTTATCCCTTTTTTACACTTTATCTATAAATATACAAAATAAAAATTTACTTAATCTATCTCGCACATAAAAATCAAGGATAAGAAAATGGAAATGAAAAGCATGACCAGAAATTATTGACGATATTACTAATTTTTGCTAAAATGAGAAAAATATATACCTAGTTAGTGATTTTCGAAATATAAGCTTTGCTAACTAGATATTTCACAATGATAGTGGTTGAATGTTTCTCGTTACCGTATGGCCTTCCCTATTTAACATACGTGTTAATGTCTCAGGATGTTATATATTTTCTTTCTTTTAGCATCCACCCTAAATATATTAGCTACTGTATATAGGTTTTATATTATATATATATGTGTGCGCGCGCGCGTGTGTGTGTGTGTGTGTGTGTGTGTGTGTGTGTGTGTGTGTGTGTGTGTGTGTATACATACAAGTGAAGTTCTTCGCACTATTTCTTCTCTTTTGTAATATCAACATGGCTGATTAGTTATACATGGCATAGGTGTAAGTTGATGTGTAGGTGCAGTTCAATTATTATATCTTAATAAATACACTTGTAAACGATCTTACCCATGCAAAAATATCTAGATATTTATCTCATACAGTACCTATCATTTTCCAACCAAATAACCTGCCTAATAATCGGGATGACCCTTTGTACGAGGTGTGACCAAAAAGTAACGAGAATTTTCAAATTGCGTGCGCTGTATCTTGTCTATCGAGTTGATTCTTTTCTTGTGTGTTAGTAGCACTGCCAGTGACGTACGTGTCAATTTTCAGGCAGCTACGACGCTTAGTTTGTGTTTGGCGAGCGAATGAGCAAGACGTACTTCAGTGTGTTCGGCGATTTTTTGTGTGGCGAAATGTCGGATCAGAGTTTGTTTGAAATTTTGTGTTAAAAACAGAATTAAGTGCAGCGAAACGTTCAAAATGTTAAAGAAGGCCTTTGGCGACGATACTATGTCACAACCACGAGTTTATGAATGGTATAAACGCTTTCAGGAAGGCCGAGAAGACATCGAAGATGACGCGAGGTCTGGGCGTCCTAGCACATCCACCAGTTATAAAAACGTGGAAAAAGTTAAAGAGATTGTGCTTGCTAATATACATATAACATTTTGTACGTTTCGCTGCACTTAATTCCGTTTTTAACACAAAATTTCAAACAAACTCTCTGATCCGACATTTCGCCACACAAAAAATCGCCGAACACACTGAAGTACGTCTTGCTCATTCGCTCGCCAAACACAAACTAAGCGTCGTAGCTGCCTGAAAATTGACACGTACGTCACTAGCAGTGCTACTAACACACAAAAAAAGAATCAACTCGATAAACAAGATATAGCGCACGCAATTTGAAAATTCTTGTTACTTTTTGATCACACCTCGTATACATAATATATAGATAGAAAGTGAGATCACAATGTGCGTATCATCACAATGTGTTTCAGCATTATTTTCTTGGTTGGATTATTCAGCCAAATTGTAAAAAAATTGATTTTAAATGGATGAAAAAAAATCTTTTATCAAACATTAACGCAGTAATAAAGGATAACCCTGTACACACACACACACACACACACACACACACATCTGTACGCGTACGCACGCGCATGTACACATCGAGAATGTAATGTCCGGTAAAATGAGCTTCCAGGTTGCTGTCAACGACCGTGAAGAATCCAGAAACCGTGACCATAGTTTTATGCCAGATGAGAAAATATCTCCTTACGACAAAACAGTTTCGTATCGAATCTCGTCGGAAGTGAAGTCCTCATCTTGGTGTTGCGCAACTCTTGGCGACCTTTTCCATCCTTGTATAATTTCTTTACAATTTCTTCAAAGGCAAGCGAAACAAGCAGCGCAATTTATTAATATTAATTCGTGCATATGCTGTTCGAATATATGTATTTCTCTTTAAAATAGTATATAGTTTAGTCTAAAATATGTAAATATATAAAACATTTTTAAATTTATAACGCGCATACGTATGCATATATACATACACATATATTGTATCTTACAATAGTATTATATAATTATTAATTTATCTCTGTTAATTTGTCAAATGCGAAAATTATTGTTTATATATATTGCTTATTAAACAGATGACGTTGAAATCTTTAATCAATTTTGGAAATTTTGGAAAAGCTCCTTGGGATGCATCTATCGCCGAACGTTATCATAGTGACGAAAGTGGTTATCATCACGGGTATCGCGGGTACGATAAATAAATTGCGTATTTAAAACGCATTAATATTGGAAAAAAGCTTTCTTATAAATTACTCCTTTGAATTTTAGAAGCTCTAAAGGAAAAGATGGAAGTAGCGCTGCGCTGAGTGCATTGACCTTGCTCGCTTTCCTATTTCTTTTAAACGTTATGCAGGTAAGAATATATATGTTTCATCTTACGCTACATCATACATTTTTAAAGTTTATTTGATGAAAGGTGCTTGTACCTTAATTTTGCTGTTTAAATTTTCTGATTTGAAATATTAATTAAGAAACTAATTGTAAGATGTAAACATACAAGAGTCATTTATCATGTATAAATCTCGCAATGCTAATTTTATGAAAATATTCGCCAATAAAAAAAAAACTTTATTTTTTATTATCAAATTTTCTGTCTTGGAAGTGGATATCTCTATTTATATTTTTTCCGCGAAATCGTTAACCGTGCTAAAACCGTGTTTTATATATATATATATATATCAAAAGAAAGTGTATATGTTTATCAGAAAAAAATGCAATGAAAGATTTTAATAAAGTGGATGCCAGATATATATGTTTTTCTTTATCGAATAATTTCTTTTATTTTTTGTTCGTGATTGAAAACTCATTATTATCTAATATAATTAGTCACATCTTTTGTTTTCTTTCAGCAATCTTTGCAGGACAATAACTCGACACTCGCCCCGACAACCACCGCACTATTATTACGAGACACCGAAATGCCAATTGTCTTGGACAATGAAGAGGAAAAAAATACTAAGACAACAGACGATTTTGTGGATGTAGCAAATACATATGGTTCAAGAACAACGATAAAAAGTTACGCATAAGGTGCGGAGATTGACTATCTGACAGCCTTACATTTTCTAGAAAGAGATAGCTCTTTTCTCAAATATCACATTTTTATATTCGAGAATATTTTTATTCTTAGTTTCTTCTTAATTTTGAGTATTCAATTTATATATGTGTGCGTGTATATATACACACGCGCGCGCGCACACACACACACACACACACGCACGCACACATACATACATATACGCATATTCGTTGTAGACATAAACGATAAATATATGAATTTATTATCTAATAAGTCGTAATTGATACATGTTACAACGAATAAGAATCCAAGCATAACTGTCAAATAATCAGCGGGTCGAATGCTAGTATTCGGCTATCATTTACTCTTCCTCAGGACATCCAGAGGAGATCCGAGGATTAAAATAGGATATCCTCAGGATATCCTACATGTATGTCCTGGATGCCCTTTGGACGTCCTAAGGACATCCTTGTGCTGTCTGGGAATGTAATGATTTCAAAATAATCAAACCATTCGTCAAAACACATAAACAGTTTATTTTATTTTATTTCTTTTTCTTTTTTTTTTTAATAATGAGATCGTCGAATATATCATCATTGTCATTGTCATCGTCGTCGTGGTGTGGTCATTTAAACGTATTCATTTATAGCATTCGAAAATGTATTCTTGTTCCTAATTTTATTTACATAACATTAGAAACATTTATATATTAATTTTTATTCTATATTTTGTCATAGTTTTACATTGCATGAAAAATAATCACGATTGATCATATATTGCTGAGAAAATGGGCGATGGGCGCGCTCTTTCGCCTATCGACGCATCTGGGAGAGCTTCTTGGATTCTCTCGATGAGCGTCCAATTTCTCCTCCAGCTCTGGTCAATTCGTGTTCTGGAGTTGCGCGATGGGCAATCTGCACAATAACTTTGTTATTCTTTTCTCATTTAGTCTTAAAATGTCTTATGTCTCAAAGTATCCTATTTATAATAAATTGGAAGATTCAAAACGAGTCTGAGAAGAGTTTTACCTTTTCCGGCGGACCTTTATTTTCGATAAAGCAGACGTTTGGTTACATTTTCTATAGCAACATTATTCGCACACTTGTACGATTAATGCAATTGGAGAAAAGTAAACGCGATTAGGCTGCCCGCCGTTACTCCGGTCTCTCATTCTATACGCTCATTTAGAAAGGATTAGAAAAGATATCACGGATTCATTATTCATTTCATTAATAAGTCTTCAAATTGTCAGAGAGTGGCCATGGCTCTCCTCTTCTCGATTAGTATCGTTATCAATAATATTCGGGAATATAATTCCCACGGATTGCACCACATTCGAGAAAAATAAATGAACGAAATGTGTGTGGGAGTCCGTTTCTCTCGATTTCGTTTTCTTTTTTTTTCCCGACAGATTATCAGCAAGAGTATATATTTAGATAAATATCTCGCAAATAACCGTGGGTTCACCAATTCCTATCTCTTAGACGAAAAAAGTCCTAGTTTCGTCCAAAAATAAAAGTGACCAGCGCTTCGTACACAGCCATGTGTACTTCTACGCATGCTAATCGGTGTAACGAATGGTCACAGATGGAAAATTTTCTCGTAAATCGAGAAATAAACATTTTATCAAAGACCACATATATATATATATATATATATAAGCATTCTTTCACAGAAAGGCCAGTATAAGAAAAATATTGAAATAGTATAAATAAAATTAATAGGATTGTAGAAAATGGAGTAAAATAAAGTTAATGAAATAAATAGAATAAATAAAAAATAAATAAAAGAAAAAGTACAGAGATAACTATAATCATACATTATTTTTAAAATAAGAACATTTATTCTAAGAAAACCTTTTGAAGGAATTCTGAAGACGCTCGATATTCAATATTTGAAATTAGAAATTAATCTTTCTCGCAATGTAATTCTTGAAACTTTAAATTCCTTTAGATTAGTTTGATTCCGATTCCCAATTTTCTATCTCTGATTATGGTGTAAAAGTGTTTACACTACATGATGTTTACACAATCGCATGTGGTGTAAGTTCATCAGACAACGATATATGTAATGCAAATTGTACAAGAAAAAGAAAAAATTGCTCACTAACGCGAAAATGCGTTGATCACTCGCAGAGTATACGATTTCACGCGAATATATTACATTCATCTTTCGCCAATCGGAAACGCAACCGATCAATTGCTGCGCAAAACACTTTCTGTTTTACAGGAGAATCGAAACTGGTATAATGTCGATGAGGTTCAAATTCCGATATCTCTGATACGTGAGAATAAATTTTACTTTTATTTGCGACGCTAAAAACACAACGCCTGCTAATTTCAATCAGAGTAATCGCATATCTCTAGTGTCGGAAATTGAACTTGTAAAAATTGCGCAAGTTTCGATCCCTACTTACTTTATATTTATANATATATGTATGTATGTAGGTATGTATGTATGAACATGTGTATTTTATGTGTATTTATATATAATATATATTCTGAAATTCGTTTAAAGCTAAACATCAAAATCTAAAAAAAGGAAATTATCTTATACAAGACACATTTATAGTTACAGGCAAATTGCCCTTATATTTCCGCAAGATTGCCTATTGCGTGGATTGTCCGTTCCTTTTCCTTCACCGAACGGAGAAGAAGAAAAAGAAATAGAAACAGGCACGTCTGACTAATTCATGAAGGATACAGTTAATCACTTACAAGTTTATTAATCCATTAATCCATTTCTCAATTTAACTCCATGTTCAGATCAATGTGGGAAAGAATAGAAACGTCGGGAAGAGGAATAAGTATGAAAACAAAATAGCGGCACATAAAAACTCGATTCAGTTTCAATCCCTACGTAATCAATGACAAGATTTCTCTGACATATCAAGCAAGTAATTGTATGCAAATGACAAAGAAACGTTATGAGAAAAATGTCAACTAAATCGTATCTCTATCTTTCGGGAAGAATAAGTGTGGATGTTTTCCTGAAAATTTTTACGAATAAAAAAAAAAGACTACATTGTAGCATAACTTTTTCTCATTCTACCCTTATCGATCGAACATTAATTATTAAATACAATATCGTTAATTTTCTTATGAATGGCTTGGTGCAACAGACACAACTGGCAAAATGTTTCTATCACAACAAGATTGGTATTACCTTTTTGAACACAGTGTAATTTTTATATCGCGTAGAAAACAGTAAGAAGAATGACATTGCGAGAAAATTATCTTTGTTATTATTATAATTGTTATTACATACGAAATAGACTGTAAAAGAGAAATAATCCAATCGCTCGAAAAAAAGAAACTATGGTTAAATTAATTAATTATGTAAAAACTGATTAATTGCAATAAATAATCGAGCGTGAAATATAGAAAAAATTAATGCAATAGTTCTTGTCCCTTACTGAAAAACTCGAAATAGAACTAGGATATTATTATCCCATCGATCTATAAGACAAAGATAAAAAATTTAAGAATAATGACAACAATAGCTAGAGGCTCAGGGTAAGAACAATTAAATGGAAAAATTGACAAATAAGAGCTCAGGCGCGGGTATCAGTGCGCAAAATTATTATTATTGTTAAATTCATTTTAGACCGCTTTTTGGTCCATCTTCAACAGTACAAATATATAGAGATCAAATTGGAATTTTAAAACTTAACATACACCAAATTTGCAGTTGCAGTCAAATCTCAAATATAACGATTATATTGTAAACCATCGACGATGAAATATGTGTGGCGATGGCGATTGGACGCTGTCCACTTAATATGTACATATTCCACGCAGATTTTAGTGAGCCTCTTTTTCGATTATTAATTTTAATTTGAGATTTGACTGCAACTGCAAATTTGATATATGTAAAGTTTTAAAATTTCAATTTGATCTCTATATATTTGTATCTATGCTGAAGATAAATCAAAAAACGGTCCGAAATGTATATTTTTAAATGCACATTGGTTAATTAAATTTAACAATAATAAGCTTGCGCACCGATACCCGCGCCTGGGCTCTTATCTGCCAATTTTTCCATTTAAATTTAAAAACTTTAAATTTATAAATATATTACATTAGGAGAGATTAATCTCCTCCAAAAGTTTTTGAGAAAATGGATTAAATTATGTTTGCGTTGAATCATTCCGCTGTGCCCTCGAATTTCATAAATCCAGAAAGGTATATGTAGCATCTCAAAAATGCACGACTATTGTACAACCAACTTTGCCCAAAGGATTATTACTCCGGCTGGCATCAAACTGTGCGTGTATTTCATAATATGTATACATATAATTCGCCAAAATTTACCGTACGTTCGCCAATGTAGAGTTTCTACATTGTTTGCACTTGTTGTAGTTGCATCGTTTGCGATTCATGATTCGTCCTGAAACTTTGGCATTTCTGCGTTTATTATTTCTCACAGGCACCTCTTTACTATCAGGCTCAAAATAAATCACAAAGCGTACATAACAAACAAATTTCGACGTGTATTGTAGCATTATACGTGAACCACAAACACTTTGATTTCGTTGAAAAATTCAAGTTACACTAGTGAATAAACACTATGGTGAATCATAAATACACAAATTCGATAAATTTTTTCTTTACACTATTTACATATTTCATACAAATCACGCATATTATAATCATGCACATATATGTATAATACACGCATAATTTGGCATCAGCTTTATTGGAGGCTGAAATAAACTGTATCTTTACATTCGTATAATTAATCCCATAGTATTAATCCCATACAGCACAGAATGTTGCTGCAACGTTCTGTGCTGTATGGAATAAAACAATCCTAATCCTGATGTCGCATGTAAATAAGAAGCAAAATTCAATTGTTTAGAGTTTAGATCGATATATATCGTCCCTATGAAAAATCAAGCCTCGCATACGCCTCAAATCTTGTTAAAAGAATGTAAAGCAAAGATTATGAAACGAAAAATGTATAATTCAATGTACATTCTCTCTCTCTCTCTCTCTCTCTCTCTCTCTCTCTCTCTCTCTCTCT